AGAGTCATTGGCCCACCAGGTTGGGGGTTGGGCTAGAGCCCAATAACCTCTTCCTGTAAAAGGTATATGTTATGGAACCTCAGGAACTATTAGCTAGACGGAACTTACGACAACGACGACTCTGTAAACGAAAAATGGAATCGAGATTAGGAACATGGATTAACCTAACCCTTTACCGAGCAGGAGAACTCATACAATTAATAAAAATGTCGAACACATACAAAGTAAATGTTTTAGCAGTACAGGGAATGCGGTGGATGGGAAATGGCACTCTTGATAAGAGAACCCACTCCATATATTATAGCTGCATTGAAAATAAACACATAGATGGAGTGAGATTTATTGTTAATCAAAGAGAAAAAGGCCTTATTATTGACTTTAAAGCCTACAGTCAAAGAATGTGTTATTGGCGCTTAAAAGGGAAGTTCTTTAATTACATTTATGTTTGATCAATGCAAATGCCCGACTGATGACAAACCAGAAGAAAACAAAAGAAGTAGCTATAATGAATTACCACTCATAACTTAGCAGTGACATTAAACATGACAACCGCTAGCGGCTATTTTGGAAACAAGAATATAAACGAGGTACCCTAGACCTCTCCTGATGGAAGAACAACGAGTCAAATTGATCACATCTTAATAGATTTAAGACATGAACAGACGTAATGAAATGCAGAAGTTATAGGTAGAGGCGCAAACATATACTCAGATAATTGCCTATTCTTTGTTTCACGTTAAGAAAATAACATTACGCTTATGGAGATCAGTGTTGCCAAAACTCTCAGACACTCTCTTTTGCACGGATGTCCAAGATATTCCCTTTGCTTAATTTTTGAATTTTCATTTTCAATTAATATTTAACTGTAAAGTCAGAATAACTACTAAATAAAAGCCTTATTATCATTATCTAGTCAGAGACGACATAAAATAGCTGACATACGCACATCGTATTATTTTAAGTTGCAATTAGTAATTAGATATACGCATTCCAAGCGGTCAATGTTTTCTACTGATTTATATGATTCATGGCATATCGTATTCTCACCGAGAAACAAATAAACTGTCGTTACTATAATTAAAATAAGATAAAATAAAATTATCTTTTGTAAATACTATTTATCTAATTAAAATCATTTTCCCTACTTTTCATCTCTTGTTTCGAATGGGCACTTTTGGTCAATTACGTTAAAAAAATATTTAATTCATGTTTGTGGAAACGAAAATACAAATTATACAACCCTAAATTGTGCTTGTGTGTGTCGTGGCAACGCCGCGTTGCTATCGTCCATAAGAAATACATGGCCCTATCTCCGCAATGTTATTTTCTAAACGTGGAACGTAGTATAGCGATCTCTTGAGGGCTATAATTTCAAATGTCAGCAAGGAAAATAAAATGGATAAAAAGAATTGGAATATGCAACAGCCGAGATGTAACAATTAGAATACTCAGAAAACATCGCGAATAGGCTAAGGAATCAAAATGTAAATGAAGAAAGAATGCCAGAAAATATAGACTCCTACTGGACCAGAAAAAAGGAAGATATTGAACCAGCAGCAAAAGATGAAATCGACACAGAAACTTGTGCCAAAAAACCCTTGTTGTGTAAAAACCATTGGTTTGATGATAAATGCAAGAAGACAACAAAAGCATTATTAAGAGGATAAAAAATATTATCATAAGCCCTCTTACAACACCCATATTTAAAAAAGGGGAAATTGACGTCTCTGAAAATTATAGGGCAGTCGCACTGCTCCCAGTCGTCTCTAAAATACTAGAAAATGCCATGGCTTTGCAAATCACAAGCTTTTTCGAAGGTAATAATTATTTTTCAGGCTCACAATTTGGTTTCAGGAAGGGAAGGAGCACGACTCTTGGCATTCTTGACCTAGTGTCTCACATCTTGGAATCCTTTCATAGAATGCAATTCAACACTATTGTGGTTTATAACTGGAGTAAGGCATTTGATTGTATGGACCACATGATACTCCTGAGAAATCTACAGAGGTACAACTTTTATCCACAAAGTGTCAAGTTGATCCAATCATACTTCGAGAACAGGGTACAATCTGTGAGGGTGTCTGAGGTGTTGTCAGGAGAGAGTGTTGTTAATATTGGTGTTCCTCGGGCTCTGTGGCTGGACCCATACTATTTCTAGTATATATTAATGACCTTACAAGCGTTGAATCAAACGCTACATACACACGCTTGGCTGATGACACCACAGTCTCCTTCTTAGCTGACACACTTGAGGACTCCCTTACGGGTTCCAGGTCTGCACTGTCGTATACTAAGAGTGGTTCTGTGTTTAACAGGCTCCTGCTTAATGAAGCAAAGACCAACAGGGCTGTTTTTTTCTTAGAGTCACCCAGGCTGAAGACGCAGATGTGACAAGTGTGAAGTTCCTTGGAGGACACCTAGACCTCAAGCTTCAATGGGGTCAACATATTGACTATCTGAGCAAAAACCTATCAAAGAACTTATATGTGCTCAGAAATCTAGCATCGGGCGTTTCACACAAGGTCTTATGAACAGCTTATTATGCTATTTTTCACTCTCATCTGGCATATGCAATCTTGGTCTGGGGGTATTCGGCAGGAATGCTGAGTCTTTGATCTGCAACATAAGGCTATAAGAGCTTCTGCAGGCCTTGGGTTTAGGGACGATTGCAGATTGGCCTATGAGACTGCAAATTCTTACTGTGCCCTCCATGTATATCTATAAGAACCTTATGTTTAAGCATACTAAGAGTTTAAGCAAACCCTATTAAGAGAAGCAGGGGGCGTTTTGGTACCCATGAAGAGGTGCACGATCATAATACTAGACACATATGTGATCTTGTTCCAGTCTACTGATGCCTAGAGGTGTCAAACTATATCAGGGTATTGGGCAATTAAATTGTAAAACAAATTTTTAAATATAACTATTGTTCTGCTTTATTTTAGCGTGTGTTAGGCTACTGCCAAAATTACATCAATAAATGAATTTGAAAAAAATGTAGCCTACAGAAAAATGCTCAACCGACGAACTAGAATAGCTGTACAGAATTACCAGACAAAAAGAGACTTAAAGGAAAAAATGAAAACACTTAAATAAGGAAATCTAAGAATCTAAAAAAGAAATTGTAACTTCTCACACACTACAATAAGTTTTCACCTTCCATTTTCTTAAAACAATTAAACACTTGTATGTACACACTAATTCATAATAATTTTCAACTGTTGTTGCAAGGTAATAGTATTTGTCGTATTTGTGAGTTTATACTGAAAAACAATTTCTTTGTCACAATAAGCTCACCTTTATTTGTTGGGCTATGTAGTTAACAAAGAACTCATTGAAAGAATGGCAAATAACAGTGACTAGTTCTATTGATTATAGGGGTAAGAGTACTGAAGAAAATAAAACAAAAAAACACTTGTAAGCAAAGCCAATCTTAAAAACGGGAAAACAGAATTAGGATATGGAATTTATTAATATAGTCAATAACATGAAAAATCTGATATTAAAAAGAAGAAATTAATCAGTGAGAGGAATAAATGTTAAATTACATCACTGTGATTTATCCTTATAACTACTGATGACTAACTTGTGACTACTGATAATAAAAACTCAAGAAAATTACTGTAACTAAACATATACAGGGTGGTCCTTAAGTAATTGTACAAAAAGAAACCGCAGATTCTACACTTTAAAATATTACGATTTAAGCCAAATTGCTTTAATAAAATGTTGATATTAAGAAAGATACAAGGTGTTAAAGTGGAAATTTAAAATTTTAATTTTCGCTATAACTTTCATGTTGTAAAGAATTATGTATAAAAATTTACAACTTGATACTATTGAATATAAGGAATTATAATTTGATGTATACTTTGATAGTTATAGTGAGAGGGCAGTGAGAACATACTTAAATACAACTTTGCTGAACGTTGGATTGTTCATGGTAGTCATATTCCTTGGTCATATGGTGAGATATTAATATAATTAATTAATTCATAAAAATCTCAAAAGAATACTTATTATTATACTTATAATACTTACAATAGATATTGCAGCAGTTTCTTTAAAACCAATGATGCTTTTTAATATGAGGCAATCTTTCATGGAATGTATTGACAAAATGAATTAAATAAAATGGTGGACATATTGAACACTTACTTTGACAAAAAGTTTAATGTTACTTTAATATAACTATTTTTTAATTTGGTTTGTAAATAAAATGTTTTTATTATGACTTTAAATTTAATGTAAAATGTAAAATGTTTTATGTAAAATCATACTGTTCTGTTATTTTGTCAAAACTATTATTAATTATCCCCCTGATATATTTATTTTATTCAGTATTTCATTAACTATAAACGTTATTAAAGGTATTTTATAACAAAATTCAGAAGTATTGATGTTTTTATCTATTTTTCTTTCGTTGCCTGGAGTAATTGTGTTAAATCAGAATTATGCAGTTGATTTGTAAAACGCGATTATCTCGAAAACTGTTGAGTTTTGAAGTTATTAACAGGTATACATTTTTTTGTTAAAATATTGTATCTTAATATTTTATATCACAAATACCGGTAACTTGAAGAGCAAAAAAATTAAGTGCAAATTTATACCACATATGTGGTATCAAAGTATGCATCAAATTATAATTCCTTATATTCAATAGTATCAAGTTGTAAATTTTTATACATAAATGTTTACAACATGAAAGTTATAGCGAAAAATAAAATTTTAAATTTCCACTTTAACACCCTGTATCATTCTTAATATCAACATTTTATTACAGCAATTTGGCTTAAATTGTAATATTTTAAAGTGTAGAATCTGCGGTTTCTTTTTGTACAATTATTTAAGAACCACACTGTATACAAAAACATGTATACAATATAATGAAGTTAAATATTCTAAATCAAGAGACAGACAGTGAGTGCTAGAAATCGTGTCCTTATGTCTATTTTATTTTTGTCAAAAATGTTTATATACAAGATAAATAGTTGACATACCTATGATAATTCTCTTCTCCGATTCTAATTCTCCCAATTCTTTTAGTTGTTTAAATTCTTTCACTGGGTCTTCTAATTGTTTCTTTATGAAAGTTGTAAAAGCCTCTACTGATCTTTGTCCTCTATACTCTCTCTTTGCTGGCTGGCCATTACGAATCACTTTTAAGGTTGGATATTTTGTGATGTGGTATTTTGAAGATATACTGCTTTCTTTATCACAATCTACTTTACCCATCACAACCTTTCCAGCTTCTGGAAATTCTTTAGCTACTGCGTCTGCTGTTTCATCAAATATAGGCATCAACATATTACTAAATCTACACCAGTCAGCATAGAAATTTATAAAGACTAATTCATTGGAAGCTGAAACAAACAATAGTAATCTTAATCTAATATGTTGGTCCTTACTTAATGTCGCACTTCATAATATAAACATAATAAAATGAATAAAAAGTTAAGTAAGTATGGGACACAAAAATACAGATAAGAAAGAAAAATGGTAACCCAGAAACGAAGTACTTGGTGATACAGAAAATGTATTTGATGACTTAAATGTAAAATATATTATAGCATAAAAACTGCTTTAAAAAAAAACATCGAAAAAAAAAAAATAGTCGAGTATTAGACAGATAAGAAAGGACATATATTAATCAGAGAGAATTCTTGAGAAAAATAATAGTACACAAAAGGTATTAAAGCAACTATGAAAGTTCATGTGCTTCCATCAAGTATTGTACACACAATTTAAAGTTTTGGAGTACTCAAGACTTGTGACTGTAAATGTAAAATGCTCCCAGCTGAAGGGATAGACTAGATTGGTGTATTAGGCCACATAAGTACAGCTTTTATGTTTTTATTATAAATTTGCATTATTATGCTACAAACTTACCCAAAATATTATCTAAGTTTTGTTCAGTAAGCTGTACAGCTCCACTATCTGTTGGTTCTATTAAGTAAATAATCTGAAAAAGAAGAAACAATAATCAATTTTTTATTGAAGTGATACATTTAATATTATATCAACCTCTACTACTGAGGGAAGTATTACTAAAAGGTAGATTTCATTATCTAGATAGATAGGTAGATTGCTAAAGTTTAAGTCACTTCCTTGAGATCATTTAAAATGATTAAGCCATTTTGGATACATTTATGAAATCAGAAAGCCTAAGGAAGAATTGAAAATCAACTCAGAAGAGATAGATATTCTTAGGAAGGTAAGACAGGGGTGTATCTTTAGAGATATAAAGGTCATCTTTAGAGATATAAAGGTCATCTTTAGAGATATAAGTACTTAGAATGATAATCAGCTAATATAGCAAAATTCAAAAATTATCCATTCCTTATTCATGATGAACATTCTACACAATCTAGTAAATAAAAGCATACATTCTAATAACAAATCATCTTTCTATACTATCTTTGCATACATTCAGTCCTAACCCTGAGGGAGTGTAGTAGTCATTATGATGTCATATATTGTCCATCTTCAAAGATTTCTCTCTCTCTCTCTCTCTAGTCATTTCTTTTAACTCATACACATGTCTTTTGCACATTCCTGTAATTTGGTTGATCCATTTTGTTATGGAACTTCCTTGTGATTTTTGGCCTTTTGCCTTTCCTTGGATAACAAGTCTTTCCATGTTTTCTGTGTGTGCTCTCATAACATGTCGAAAGTATTTTAATTGTTGAAGATGGACTTTGATGGAGAGTTGTTAACTGACAATTTATAATAAGATTATAGTACATATTTAAGATAGACAGTTCAAAGATAAGATATATAAATAAAAGATCCAACACAAAATTGTTTGCCATTTATATATTTGTTCTCTACTCCAATTTTAAAATCCTTGGAAGGAACTACAATATGACATAGATATAAAAAAGGTTTAACCTTTAAAAGAACTTTATTTAGGATAGTTAATTTAATTTGTCTAAGTACATCAAATCAACTTTGTAAAGCAAGTCTTCAGGATGTAACGAAATTTCTAAATTCAAAATGATAAATATACAATAAAGCAGTTGAAAAATTAGTTGACAAGTCAGAAAACAAAATGAGATAATTACTCTCAAAGAAGGGATTTGGAGAAGTTTCTTTCTAGTGGTTTGAAAGCAGATATTCTCTCTACCAGCAATAACAAAATACCACAATATAAAGCACACATTTTGGTTGGATAATAATGGTATATAATGATGTCTTCTTACAAATTTTCTTCCTTCATTAAAATATGTCCATCTTAGACAATAATAGCAACAAATTATTCCTTGATAATAGTCTAAGATGACTATTGTTTTGTTTATTCATATTTATGTATAATTATTATTCATAAGTAGTAAAAATATGTACATTCTGTAGTTAAATAATTATCTACTGCTAATACGTTGTAAGACATCAAATAATGTTTAAAAATATAAGTTAGTTTTCAATTTCTCTTTTTTTAGAAGAGTTTGGTTACAATATTCTTGCAACTTTTAAGACCATGCCTCCCGGTTTATGTTCATAATATATATTAACAATGTTAACCGTTAACGTTATACATGAAATAGAAATATAGATTATTCTAAATCTGCCATTACTGTGCTAAGTTTTATCTTAACATATTTTGCCGAATACAAATCTGTAAGAAAGTAATTAAATTGTACTTACCGTAGTTAATAAAAATAAAGTAGTTCTAATATTGTACATTTTTGATATTCTAAAAGTCATAATAGCATGAGAGTTTCTATAAGAATAAATAAAAAACACACGGATTTACAAACTTTGCACTAAGACCTACTGTAAATACCGTAAACGATGAACGGCTAACGTCATCTAACTATTTTGACATAAAAGGATGACAATTATTAATGTCACAAATTTCGGCATGAAGCTTCCTTCAAAATTGATAACACTTTAAAATATTGGATAGGTGGACGAATGTGATTGGTAACTTTTTGCTAGTCTAACGAATTGCAGACGATATCATATAACAATAGTCAAAGGTAGGCAATTTCTATTACATAGTCCAGAGGTGTACTCACTGTGAATTCTAGGGTTAAAGCAGCGTAGAAGGATAATAAAATAGAAACATTTCAGTAATTTAAAAATAAAATAAAATATAATAAACGAATTCCACTTTAATAAATAGTTATATCATATAGTTAAAAAACACTAAACAATTACAACAAAAGTGTTTTACTTCGATGTTCCAGTTTTTTAAAATTATATATAATTCATCTAATTTACTTACCGTTGCACGTCATCCGCATCATAGCTCGTGCGGTCATATGATACCAACACGAAATATTTAGGCGGTAGGTGTGTTCTTTTTTATAATCACTTTGCCGAGTACACTTGCATTACAGCCACTTGATATATTTTATTACATACGCGTAGAAATAATATTTAAAGATTTCTATTAATGTTAACTTTAAAAAAAAAACGCAATAATATGTTTCATTTAATTTGTATAAATGCATTATAAAGCGTTTTTTATGAAGAACATTTGTTCGGAACACACTGTAACTGTAATCGAACGAAAGTGGTATTTTGGCATAAATTGGTAACACTTCTTTGACAATTGCCGTGTTAACACTTTTTGTACTCTATTATTTTGAATTTTAAAGTGAATACCTCTTGGTTTATATTTTTACCTATTTAATAAAATCTGTTCTTTTTAGAACAGAATTAGTGTATATTATCCAGATTTAGCAATACGGCTCACACTCCCTCTAAGGGGAAAATTCACTCATCCCAGATACCTAAGGTATCAAAAGGATTGATGATAGGTGACTTGGTACGTCGGTGTATCTCCTAAAAATTTTCGAACGCATCTTGACGTCGAAAGTAGCACAGCTTTCTGCATGACCTTATATAGATGTTCATTTAGACCCAGCTTTTTTATGTTTTCTAGGAGGTTCTTCGGAATGACTCCAGTGGTAGAAAGAATACTAGGTATCTATCGTCTGGGTACTTTCCATTCTCCATTGTCTTCTTATTTGTATTTCCAGATCTCTCTACTTGGCGATCTTTTCGTTGTACTTAACACGCAGATTATTGTTGTTAGGTATCGCCACATCGATTAGAGTTGTTTGTCTTGTTAGTTTATTAACTAGCACGAGATCTGGTCTATTATGTGCTACAGTTTGATCTGTGAGCACAGTGCGATCCCAGTATAGCTTGTAGTTGTCATTCTCAAGCATACTCTCAGGAACGTATTGATAATATGGGAGATGGTTTGTTTGTAGAAGTCCCAGTTTAAAAGCTATCTCTTGATGGAGGATCTTCCCTGCTGAGTCATGCCGTTCCTTATATTCAGTTGCAGCAAATACCTGGCAGCCTCCGGTAAGATGTTGGATAGTTTCTTGGGCTTGACATCCATATCGGCATTTGTCGTTTTGGAACTGAGGGTCTTTGACGATATATTTCAGGTAATTTTTGGTTGGTATAACCTGATCCTGAATGGCGAGTAATGAACCTTCTGTTTCAGGGAACATCTTTCCTGATGTCAGCCAGTAGTTCGACGTTATATTGTCGATATAGTCTTGACTGACTTCATTCGGATGTCGCCCGTGCAGAGGTTTACCCATCCAGGTGCGCATTTTTTCGTTGTTAGTAAGATGGTTTATGCGCATTTCTTGTTCCCTCAGGTTGATCGGTGATGTGTCATCTACTGAGCAGATCGCGCGATAAAGAGTAGATGTCTCCGCCTGCACCTGAAAATAAGTTCTTAAATTAGTAATCTGTTTATCTAATTGCTCGCTTATATCAATAAGTCCTCGTCCTCCTAAATACCGCGGTAATGTCGTTCTTTCTACTGCACTTCTAGGATGGTGTTTTTGTGTCTTTGTGAAGTGTGTTCGTACTTTTATCTGAAGAGTTTCTATATCCGTTTTAGTCCACTTAATAATCCCAAATGAGTAGCTAAGCGCGGAAAGTGCGTAGGTGTTTAATGCCTTAAACAAATTTTTACTATTAAGATGTGAGCGGAGTAGCTGTTTTACCCTTCGTATGAACTCTGATGTTAATTCGATTTTCATTTGTTTATGGTCAATTTTCCGCGCTTGCTTTACTCCTAGATATTTATACATGTCATTTTCGCCCATAGCCTCGATGTTTTGGCCATTTTGCATATCGAATCCTCCGGGCTGAACCTTTCCCTTGACTATATTTAGTACACGACATTTGTTTAACCCAAAGTGCATACTGATATCATTTGAAAAAGTTTCTACAGTTTTTAGCATTTGATCTAAGTGATTTCGAGTGGAAGCCATTAGTTTCAAACCATCCATATACCTACAACAGATGATTAAGCTTCGCCACTACAGTGTTGTTGTTTTTAATGTTAAAACCTGAGTCAGTGGAGTTCAATAGCTGGGATAGTGGATTCATCGCTAGACAGAACCACAAGGGACTCAGCGAGTCTCCTTGGAATAGGCCGCGGTTAATTGCGATATTTTCCGTTTCGATATTGTTTTCACCAGGTATTTGGAGGTGAATTTTAGTCTTCCAATCTGTCATTATATGTCTTAAGAAGGTCACTATATTATCATCGACTTTATATATTCTTAATATATCTACCAGCCATTCATGCGGCACTATTAATTAACAGCATTATTAGGGTAAACCATTGTCATAGAAATATTATTAACCTGTTTTCAGTGTTTTCGATCTTATTTTTATGCTGAGTAATATAAGGTCTTAATTCATTTTTATTCACTTGTAGATCTTAAAATTGGTTACAATTGATTATAATGACGTTAGCTGCCTATTCCTTTTTTAAAGATCAATATTTTAATACATGTTTACGAGTAAAAAATTCTATGAAAAAAAAATGCCAACAGGAGGCAATGCCGGTCAGTTGACCGGTATTACCCCCATGCTATAATTTATACCCTATACTATTAATCCTTAGGGATTAATCCATCCATTTTTCGACATTGCAAGAAAGAATAAAAAATAAAAAATCTTCAAGGTGTCTCATTAGGTAGAAAATCAGTATTTTCTGCCGAACAAGAAGCTAAAATAGCCACACAAAAAAAATATTTAGCTTAATTTTTTATGGCGTAACAGCAATAGAACTGAGAAAATTAGCATTTGGGTTTACAAGATAATTTTCTTGTAATAAAACACCTTTTTCTTGTAATTGGCATTCTGCAGAGAGTTATACCTGCGATGACTGTCAACTATTTTTACAGTAAAACACATATTTTTGTTATTTTTTGTTTGTTTTGCAATAAAAAATATTTTTTCACCTTTCTTACTGATTTACTTGAATTATGACCCATTAAGCCACATTCGTTAAAAATTGACTGGCATTACCCACACTCATGACCGGTATTGTCCATGTATGGTGACAATACCGGTCAAAGATACTTTTTTATGTTTTGTCTCTGTCAAAGACAAAAATTTTATATTTTTGAAATTAAATGTATCTTGCAATAAGTTAAAACCCCAAATTACGGATTGACGGCTTAAATTTGATTCACAGAGTTTTATTTTTTTTTTTTTAATTAAATTTTCTTCTTGGGTGACCGCGATTTGCACACTTTACCCTAATTACTATTATTATTATTATTAGTATGTGTATAATATTAATTTGTTTTGTTGTATAATCCACTTTTGCAATAATTATGTGAACTATTTGATTTAAAATGGATTCAGGATTTTTATATACTTTGGCAGCTATGTCAACTTCGATCTCTGTCAATGATAATGATGTGCAACGGTAAGTAAATTAGATGACGTATATTATTTATAGACGATAGGTACTTGCAGATCAAGAACGGTTGTCTACTTGCAGATGGCTAGTGTACAGTGCCGGTTTAAGGGGTGCTATTGGACTATTAGCCTCCGGCGGTAAATTTTAATAATCGGTATGTCGCTCCCATAACGTTTTAATTCTATATGTGGATATTTCAAATTTATGGGGTTGATTTTCTGAAATAGCATGGTAATAAAACTTCGTCTCATCACCGATAAGATCCATGTATGCGGTAGCAGTTCGCACAAAAACCCGTTTCATATTTCCGGAAATTCCAAGAATTCGGGCAGCGCCACTACGCCTGTCGGCAGCGTGTCCGGCTCCAACACGTCATGTCGTCATGTCGTCAGTCGTGTTGGTAGTTTTCGAGACTAGTCTCAAATTTTACTTATTTAATAGTGAAGGGTTTTCGTGACGTTTCTAAAAAATGAGCGGAAAGGAACTAGGTGCATTTTGCAAACGACAAAAGTTAAAAATTTTGATAGTGTACAAGGCAACTATCGAACACAGGGATTAATTAAATCTTGCCCAAATACTTTCGATCAATAGATTGCAGAAAAAAATTTGCAGGAAAAAATTGAAAAAAAGCTTGCATATTCATCACAGTTTTTTCAACCTAATGCTTCAGATAACATCAGATATTTCTCCTTCACTTATATTAGTAGCATTTCCAATAAAATATCTAAACTTTTTACTTCTACAATTGATAACATCAAAATTTCCTTTAAATCACATAACACTTTAGGTTCCTTCTTAATCAATACCAAAGATAGGATGAATACACTTGATAAAAGTGGTATTTACAAATTAAAATGTGATGATTGTGATGCCTCTTATGTAGGTAGAACCATCAGAAAGTTATCCACTAGAGTCTCTGAACATTTGAAAAGACCAAATTCTTCAAGTTTTGGTCAACACTTAGTATCCAGCAACCATAATTTTA